TCGGTTTATACACGAGTATATATGGTAATAACTATATAAATAGATGAATAACAAATAATGATTGAAAAATCAGATTTAAAACTATTCTCGTAATATACTCAGTCAACAAGAAAAACTAACTTCATATACAGCAATATAGGTAGGTTGGTTTACAACCTAGTGGGGCAGTACAACTGTAACATGGGGTTATTATGAATCAAAATTTACTTAATGGCATCTAATAATCACATAACCATTAAGACAATAATGCATAATTTTTCAATTCCTGAAAAATAAATCTCCAAATTCAAAGAGTTTTACTAGAATAGTAAATTCTATTTACTATTGCCAAATACTTTAAAAATTAACACTAATTCAATGCAATCTCAGTAAATAGAAGATGATGGCAGATTTAGGAATCATTTTATGAAACCAGTATTATTCTAATACTAAAGGTAGACAAACAGTTCTAGCGTGGCACAATAGAACAATATCCCTCATGGATACAAAAATGAAATTCCTTACTGCAATATTAGAAAATGGAATTCAGCAATATATGGAAAAGAATTACATAACATGGCCATGTGGAGTTTATTTCAAGTAGGCAAGGCAAGATCAATATTTGATAGTGGCCTAAACAAGAAAAAACACAAGATAATATGAATAGATGCAGAAAAGGAAGGAAAAATTTCAACATCTATTCATGGTTAAAAACTCCTAAAAAATGGAATAGAAAGTAACTTACTTAATAAAGAGCAACTACAGAAAAAGTACCACACCAAAAAAAACTCACTGCCATCGAGTCAATGTTGACTCTTAGCCACCCTGTGAGTTTCCAAACCCTGAAATGCCTACAACGGAAGGCTGCGTCTTTCTCCCATGGAGTTGCTGGATTTGAACTGCAGCCCCTGCAGCTTGCAGCCCGCTGTGTAACCAGTACGCCCAGTTTGCAACCACCACACTCCCCAGAAAAAGTACAGCTACCAAAATAACATACTGGTTAAAAACTGGATAGTTTTATGCAGTTATAAGTGGCTAGATTAATGAACTCTCCCAATTCTAACCGGCTATTTCAAGATAATTATTACTAAGAATATTTCAACAAAATACCCAGTGACATCTGTACTTTACTAATCTGACAACATAGAATGTCTGACAACTGTTTTCCCAGAGGTTTTTAGTTTAGAATATATATTTTTTCATTTGTGTTTTTAATAAATATTATATCCTCTCACCATTTGCTCAGGATATCCAGTTGTGTCTTCCTCCTTATAAATAACCAGTTCTCCACAGCGTTTTCTGAATATTGAACTAATATGTCTTTCCTTCCACCCCACTCATTTTTTAATATAGATGCTTCAAAAAGTTGATGGAATTGAACAATTATATAGTTTCTCCACAAACTTTTTGAAGCCCCCATACATAGTTCCTCATCTCAATTTCCACTTAATTAATCTTCAGAAAATCTGATCTCAATACAACAGTTTCCTCACTATATTCATACACACCATATATATATATAAAGATTCCCTAAGGGTCTGACTCTGTCTGCCTTCTTAATAAATTGAGTCATTCTTTGATCTTCATTAATTTGATAGGTGACAAACCGCATAGGGTATGCATTCTACTCAAAGATAATAATCAGTTAATCTTATAGTGAAAAGAGTACCTTAATATAGTAAGTACAAAGAAACAAAGTGACTTCCAAATTGAAAATGGCTCTATCTTGCATCACCCTGACGAGGCACGAGTCCTTGTTCAGTTTCTCGTCACTACCACAACTAGAATCCTGGTACTGGATCGCATCGGTACTCGACAGTATCGGATTTCAATGAGAAATGTCAAGAAAATTTTGCATCGGAGCTGGAACAAAACATTGGAATCCGACTTGATGCACGTGATGTTTGTCAACAAAAGCAGTTCGTGTTTCGGTCACTGGGCATTAGTTGGC